AACCATTCCCCAAACAGGAAGGCAGCACCCACTCCTGTAGACACCATACGGGATAGAAAGCACTCATGATGCAGATCCTGTCCATAGATGGCTTCCTTCCAATATGCACAGGAAGATCAAACTCAATTAGACAGCAGGTATTGGGAAAACATGTCAAAATAAAAATACAAGAGATGTCACAGGGTGACATCATTAACTGCCATATCACCGACATGGACACACGTAATGCTATTGGAATACTGTGTGTGTATCTCCCAGGGAGACCAGAAGGCAGACTGCTAGTTTTTTCTTTATGGAATCTGTGTTGCTTGAATTGTCACAATGAGCATCCATTGATTTTATTTTTGTATGCATTCATCTTACAGTATAAAATACAGTAAAGCAAACACGACAGGTGCACACAGTGTAATTGTAGCTCAAGCCTAGAAAGGCCGTTTGGTAGCCACAGAAGACAATGGGGGCAGCCGGTTTGAGAAAAGTCTTGGAGGCTTTGGAGGGGGTGGTGTAGGCACTCTAGCTGGTGGAATAATCCGAGCTACAAGCACAGTTGGAAAGCCCAAGGCAGGGCCAAGTCTAAGGGCTGAAGGGGCTGGCTGTTTCCTTCCTCTGATGAGGTGAGGCCACCACTCTCATTTCCCCAAAACCTAGGAGGATAGCCCATGCTGGCCACTTTGGGGAGTGGCAGAGTGAAGTACGAGGCATCTGTGTGTCCTGCAGCTGAGGTCACCATCCCCAGCTGGCAGACTACCAGGTCATGCCAAGGTGGCACCTGGCCTAGTTCAGCCCACCTGCTACAGATCTGCCTGGATTGCCTTTGAGGAGGCTAGCATGAATTCACCTGGCAGAGAAATGCATGGCTTGCCCAGGGTCACACAAGCAGATGGTAACAGCTATCCTGCCGGACCGGCTGACACAATCCACACTGGCAATCTAAATGTCCCTTCTCCCCTCTCTGACTAGAGGGAAGCCCTCCCCTCAGCAGGTCAGAGTGGCCTGGGCACCTCCGGCTTGTTCCCATGCCCATCAGCTCTGGCTCCTTTCCGAGGCCTGCTGGCTGACCCCTTTGTCTTGGAGAGGCTGAACCCAGCCTGGCCTTAAGCCCAAGAATGCACTGGCCCACACTCCTGCATTTTTTTGCCACCCACTCACCTGCCATCTGCCTTTTCAGGAGTTTCCATGTATCAAAATCCCCAGGTATCAAGCCCAAAGTTGAGGGGCCGTTTCCAGACTAGTTCCGAGAAGTGAGCCTTTGGGGAGCGGACCCCAGGATATGCCTTCTGGGGAAGCCCCTAGTCAATATGACATGGGGGTGACCCCAGCTCCTGTGTTCATTGGACCTGGGCTGGGGCTTGGCTGGCCTGGGCTGAGAGCTCAGTGAAGCAGCCGCTGGGGAAAGGAGGCAGGCAAACCACACTTCTTGGCTGCTCTCCCCGCCAGCAGTGCCGACCCAGGGCTCTCCCTACTGAATCTGACAGTGGAGTGAGTAGAGAAAGAATACAAGCTTTGAGGCCCCACAAGTCTGGGTCTAATCCCAGCCTCACCATTTCCTAGGAAATACATTTCCTTCATATTTATGAGTCTCATCTGTAAAATGGGCAAATATAGCCTACTCCATGAGTTTACTATGAGAGTTCAATGAAACAATACAAGTGAGATACTCAGTGTGTCACAGTTTCCTGATAACACAGCTTCCTGCACCTCCTTCCTGATAACTGGGTCTACACACCAGTGCTTCTCTAATAAATAAGCAATAATGACTCTGTTCTTTGCCCATCCCATTAACCCTTAGAGCATCCCTACTAATGATCTGTGTTTCAGTTAGTTACCACTTTATAGGTGATGAGCCGAGGACCTAAAAATCTGGGTGACCTCTCTGCAGTCATACAGCTTGTTTGTAAGAAGTCTTGGTTGGAACTCATCTAACACCACCAAGGAGGGCAGCTGTGATTTGCTGAGCACCTACTAGGTGCCAGGCTAGTATTCCGGTGTATTCCGGGGCTGAGCACTTTGAATCATCCCAGGCAAGTCAACACTCACAGTAAATGCACGTGTGAGGAAGCAACATTATCCCGATCGCACAGATAATCAAACCAAGTGGGAGAGAAGCCAGGTCACTTGTCCAAGGCCACACGGGTGATAAGCAGCTAGCACACCAGGGCTGCTTGACTTCAAAACTCTGCGGTCTGGCCTCCTGGTATCACTGGACCCTGGACTCGGGGTCAGGGTTGAAAGCATGATTCTGGGTTGTTCCATGGCCCATTTGATGCAGCTCCCCACCCACGGCTTAATCCTCAGGAACGGTGGGGATGGACTCAATCTTGGCCCAGACCTAAGGTTCTCCCAATGAGAACCAGCCCCAGAACCAGTCAGATCAGAACCCCTAAGATGCACAAGAGCCTGTTCTGGGCCTCACTGGCCTAGCCGCTGTCCTGCCCCATCCCCTCTAAACGCTAACTGCTCCCCAGAGAGTGAGCCCCTCACCATTTTGGACTGGTGGTATGTCCTTGACAAAGTCACTTAACTTCTGGGAGCCTCAGTTTCTGCATCTACAAAATGGGAACAACAATTCTGAAGTCTGGGGTTGTGAGGATTAAGGAGGCAGTGGCTGTAAAGAGCCTGGAACAGTGCACAGCACACAGTGGACATCCATGTCTTTCCTTCCTTCAGGCCCTCAGGCTCTGCGCTCCCTGCAAGTTCTTGCAGGCACTGCCGAAAGGGAGCTATGTCTGTCCTTTGTACCTGAAGGAAGTGGTGTGGGACAGGGGAAAGGGCACACCAGGCATCAGACAAGTCTCAGCTCTGCCACTCACTAGCCTATCATGAGGACCTCTCCAGATCTCGCTTTCCTCATCTACCAATGGAGTGAACACCACCTTCCTAGATCCCACCCTGCAGGATCAAATGGGATGGCATCTCTCTGTAACCAGTCAAATGCTGTGCAAAGGTCAAGGATGAATAATAACAGTTACATCAATACAAACAGCAGCCACCACGACATGCCAGGCCTAGGCATGGTTTAAATACATTTAAATGTATTTCCCATTTAATTTTCAAAATTCAGAGGCGGCATGGTTCCCACTGTACTAATGAGAAAACAAGCCAGGGAGGTGATGTAATTGACCCAAGACCTCATAGTAAGTGGCAGAGTCCGGATTTGAACCCAGGTCCTGGTGACTCTGAAGCAGAGGAACCGACCCACCTTGTTATACTACCTGGACTAGGGGCCCTGCCAAGCCCCTGGCTGTGATGTTAGGCACTGGACAAGGGACGTCCTTGAGTTCCAGTCTTGCAATGACAGACATATTTGCCTTTTAAGCATCTGGTTCTAAAATGAAAAGTTACACCCTCTTTCGAAGGCACTTTGGTGGCATAAAGCAGGCAGGGGGACATCTCAGGCTGGGGCTTTGCTGCTTCAGACACACTGAGCTTCAACCCCAGATCCATACGCACCACCCTGCTCATCCTCGGGGAGTTAAGCGGAAGGTGGCTGCTGCTGCTGCCTGGGGAGCTGCGGGAGGCCAGGAGAAAGGGTGCGTGTGTTTTACCTAGCTGCAGCTCTGCCCTGTGGGGCTAGGGCAGGAAAGAAAGAAAAGGTCTCCTTCACCCGGTTTGCCTACTTTCCCTGTAATATAAAAGACTCAGTTGCCTTAAATTGATAAATATCCATTTAGAATTATTTCCCGTCTCTTAAGATTTCTGTCCCTTTAAGAAGATCTGTCCCCTTTTGGGTATCTTCTATTGTACCTATCTACCTTTGAATAGCTTAAAGATTTTTAAAACAGTAAGTATTTGTGTGATCCAGGTTCTCTTGTTGATGGCTAAATTGACTGGCTTTTCAGAATCCAGCCTCTCCTAGCATTTAGGGTCCCAGGATGGAGCAGGGGACAGCAGGAGAGGGAGACAGCCATGGTCCCAGCTGTGCAGGGGTTCAGGTGAGTAGCTTTGTGATACAGCACAGGTGTCATGATTTCACACCAGAGGAGGAGCCCAGTGGGCAGCCGGGAATTCAACAAACATTAACTAAGGATACAGCTGCAAACAGGACAACGTGGAGCTCTAATCTGAGGATAAAACCATCAACACGGGGGTGAACTAGAGGTGCCCAAGGCCTAGTGAAGTGCAAAGAGAACTCTGACCAGATGGCTTACCATGCAAGCCCGATCACCATGAGGCTAAGGATGATTCCCGCCTACACTGAATAACTAACTCTCTGATAAGCTGTTGTTAGAACTTTCATTGGATCACAACCTTAGAATCTGATCTAGTGTGTTCAGTCCCGATCCCTTTTACTCACAACTTTCAAAACTCGCAGTCAATACTGGTCAAAAGCTATGACAAGCTTGAAGCCACAAAAGTAACGATCACAGCCACCAGTTCTTATGTACACCCTACACGCCACACACACCATGCTAATGCTTTACACATGAGAGCTCTAGTTCTCAAACCTCTGTGGCTTGGATCTTATTAGTCTCATTTTACAGATGAAGAAACTGAGGTTCAGAGATACATGACTTACTCAGGATCATACAATGAGTGAGGGCAGATATTCTAACCCAGATTCACCTACTCCCAAGTCTATGGTCTTCCATTCTGCCAGGCGCCTCTTTTCTTATTTTTTTAGACAGAATCTCACTCTGTTGCCCAGGCTGGAGTACAGTGGTGTGGTCTCGGCTCACTGCAACCTCTGCCTCCCAGTTTCAAGCACTTCTTCTGCCTCAGCCTCCCAAGTACTATAGGCACACGCCACCATACCTAGCTAATTTTTGTATTTTTAGTAGAGACAGGGTTTTGCCATGTTGGCCAGGCTGGTCTGGAACTCCAGGTCTCAAGTGATCCACCCACCTCTGCCTCTCAAAGCGCTGGGATTATAGGTGTGAGCCACCACACACGGCCCATCCTGCCAAGCTCCTCCTTTAAGCAGGTGTGGTTGGGAAGCCGGCTGGACCAGCTGACAGCTCCCTGCTGTGGACCATTCATTGGTCTCCATGCTAGATGCTTACCGAGGAGGTGCTTGATGATCGCCTGGTTGTGTTCCCAGAGGTTGCTGAAGGTCCCCCAGCGTGAGTGGCCATCAGGGACCGGGTTGGCTTTGATCCAGCCCCCACAGGCATAGCTGAAGAAGTCATGGCAGGGGTCCACGGTGGGGTCCATGGAGCTCAAGATGGAGCTGGTCACTGAGACACAAGCTTCGCTCAGGCACACAGAAGGGGATCCTGCAAGGGGTCAAGGACAAGAGGCCAGTGAAGGGCAAGCAGAGAAGAAGCAGGGAGGGCAGAGAAGGCGGCTTGGGGCCCAGGGTCACACGTCCCACCCCAGCCCTGACCACACAGATTTGGAACTGAACGGTCACTAGAGCCCTACAGAGAAATGATTTCCGCCCATTTAAAATTTGCTGGCTTATAACACAAGACTTCTATTCAGCTGTCTAAAATCCTTCTTACGGCTAACAGGTACCCAGAACCCAGGTGTTTCTCTTAATCAACCTTTTCCTCCATAAATATTCATTGACTCTTTATTTTTTTATTTTTTTTTGAGACGGAGTCTCGCTCTGTCGCCCAAGCTGGAGTGCAGTGGCACGATCCCGCCTCCCGGGTTCACGCCATTCTCCTGCCTCAGCCTCCCGAGTAGCTGGGACTACAGGCGCCCGCCACCGCGCCCGGCTCATTTTTTGTATTTTTTAGTAGAGACGGGGTTTCACCTCATTGACTCTTTATTATTCCTTGATGCTCAACAAATTTATTCATTTATGCATGCATTCATTTATTCAGCAAGCTAATGACTATCTTCCAGGTTCTCTGCTGTGTCTAGAGTGCATGTGTGTGCGTGTGTGCGTTCTCCTGCATGAAAGTGTGCGCCCATGCCCGTGTGTGCGTGTGTAGGGTACTGGGGTACTAGGCATAAAAAGGCAGAGTCCTTTAATCCAGGAGCTAACAATTCAGTTGGGGATATACACATAAATCAAAAGGGAACAGTAGGAGAAATGTCTGTCCTCCTTTCTGCAAAAATAAACTGAACATTTACTATGTGCCAAAAGGGTGATGTAGACAGTATGGATGACAGGACATAGGCAGGAGGAAAGCCTATTAGGAATAGAAGGAGGAAACAGGAAAAATCACTCCTGCGTACAAGCAGGAGAGTGCATACAAGTAGGGAAGTGCGTGACTTCAAGGAATCCTCAAAAACCCAAAGGCTAAACAACCCTGAGAGACTGGTTTGCCAGAGGCAAGAGGAAAAAGCCAGAGCCCAACCTCAATGTTGGCGGCTGAGCTCTCCCAAAGGACCCAAAGCCTGGGTGGCCTGCGCAGAGGCGTGGCCTGAGGCAGCAACACGAAACTGACTGTGCAGGACCGAGAATCACAGGCCCAGTCCCATCATCCATCCACCCAGGCTGTGCTGATGACCAAAGGGACTTTACTGAACGTGGTCATGTACTGGGCACTTTGCACACACTCAGGATCTCATTTAACTCATTACAAGCCATCAGCTGCAGGCATCATGTCCCCGGTTAAGATGAGGAAACTCAGGGAGTGAATGAAACACGGTCGCCCAGCTATGCGGGAGGTAGGAGAGCTGAGAGCTGGGCCCAGGCCTGTCTCAGTCCAGCCATGCCAAGGCTGTGTTTTTCTGCTTTCCTTCCCCACCTCTTTGCCAGTCACACCAGGGGCTGGTGCAGCCTGACTGCTGAGATCTGTTTCCCCACCACACAGGGAGGCAGTGAGGCAGGGTAGGCTTTGGAGGCCACCAGACCTGGGTTCAAATCCAGCTTTCTACTTTTGCCAGTGAGGCTTTGGGCAAGTGACCTCATCTCTCCATGCCTCAGTTTCTCTATCTAAAAGTTAGGAAGAAATGTAGGACCAATTTCACAGATTTCACAGTGATGACGGCCATGGCTGGGCATGGGGTTTCAGCTTCCTCAAGTCTCAGGGTCTGAAGTTTCAGGCCAGTCTTTAGAGAGCAGCAAAGAACGCACGGGCTAGTAGGGCAGTGTTCACTTCACTCAGGAACATAAGGCCAGTGGGCAGAGGTTCACTTGTGGGCTTATTAACATCTGATGACAAACACAAAGTCCTTCAGATGGGTGGCTGACGAAGGGCTCAGAGCAGCCACACAACAGCAGGAAAATCAGGGTGATTTGACTTTGAGATAATCACACAACAATTAAAAATTATTGTTCACAGTTCAGAGGTGTGTCATAAAAAATTATGGAGCCATTACGCACGAAAACAGAGAAAGGAAATGGTGGGGGTGATAGTGCCATTTTAAGTATCTTTAAATCAAATCATCTTAATCACAGTTGAATGCTCCACTTTAAACTCCAGGGAAGCACCAAAATCTTCATGGGGCAGGGAGAGAATTTCTATGTAGGTTGAAAGAGCCTGTTGAGTATTACGATGTAACTCCATACTTAGAGAAGGAAAAGAATACCTATTGTTTTCATACATCAAACCACAGGAAGGAAAATTTTACAATATCTTGGCTGGTGGAGATGCCCAGGAGACAGGCTGAGAGTGAGTCTAACGCGGGAAGACGCATCAGCATCTGTGTGAATGTGTCTGTGTGTGTGAGAGAGGCAGACCGATTAATTAACTGATTAAGGTTTTTGCTGTTATCATATGGGGACTTGGGTTTAAAAACAAAACAAGAAACTAGTCCCAGAAGTCAGTCTCAGAGGCTGGGCTCGGTGGCTCATGCCTGTAATCCTAGCACTTTGGGAGGCTGAGGCGGGCAGATCACCTGAGGTCAGGAGTTCGAGACCAGCCTGGCCAACATGGTGAAACCCCATCACCACTAAAAATACAAAAATTAGTCAGGCATGATGGTGGGCACCTGTAATCCCAGCTACTTGGGAGGCTGAGGCAGGAGAATCTTTTGAACCCGGGAGGCGGAGGTTGCAGTGAGTCGAGACTGTGCCACTGCACTCCAGCCTGGGTGACAAGAAAAAGACTCTGTCTCAAAAAAAAAAGCAGTCTTAGAGGTTTGAGTTCTTCACTAAGTGTCTATTTTGTTGGACACTGGGCTAGGGACCAAGGAGGTGCTTAAGGAGCAATGGCTTGATTATTCAACTATTCAATGGTTTGCAGAAACTTCATGAAATATTCCTGGCCCAGGAGGTGCTTCATGCATTTTGATGACTTTATGGTTTCCAGGACCCCTCATCTAAGGCCGCATCTTCCTAGGGAAACCTTCCCAGACCCCCTTCCCTCTCTGGGTCCCTCAGCGGCCTGGGTGCCTGCTGTGCTACCGTGCTATGTCATGGCCATCTCCTTGTCCACCTGTCCTACTAGAATGTGAACTTCAGGGCAGGCCAGTATCCTATGTGTTTTTATATTTCCATTGCCTAGCATTGTATTTGGCAACTAGCAGTTGTTTAATACGTGCTTTTTTTTTTTTTTTCTTTTGAGACAGTTTTTGCTCTGTCGCCCAGGCTGGAATGCAGTGGCACAATCTCGACTCACTGCAACCTCTGCCTCCTGAGCTCAAGCAATTCTCTTGCCTCAGCCTCCTGAGTAGCTGGGATTACAAGCGTCCACCACCACGCCTGGCTAATTTTTTGTATTTTTAGTAGACACAAGGTTTCACCACATTGGCCAGGCTGGTCTTGAACTCTTGACGTCAGTTGATCCACCCGCCTTGGCCTCCCAAAGGGCTAGGATTATAGGAGTGAGCCACTGTGCCCAGCCTCAATATGTGTTTTTGAATGAACAACCAAATGAATGAAAGGCCTTATTCAGCACTTGTTCACCACCTGCAGAGGCAGCAAACGTCTTTCCTTTGGGACACGCATGATCAACTGAGAAGGCAGAAACAGATCTTAGATTTAATTCACAGACATTCATCTCCACAGAGCCTGGCCTCAAAACTGTGTAGAATGCTTTCTTAAAAATATGTTCTTGGAGCCGGGCGCAGTGGCTCACGCCTGTAATCCCAGCACTTTGGGAGGCCGAGGCGGGCGGATCATGAGGTCAGGAGATCGAGACCATTCTGGCCAACACGGTGAAACCCCGTCTCTACCAAAAATACAAAAAACTAGCTGGGCGTGGCGGGGGGCACCTGTAGTCCCAGCTACTCGGGAGGCTGAGGCAGAAGAATGGCATGAACCCAGGAGGCAAAGATTGCAGTGAGCCGACATCGCGCCACTGCACTCCAGCCTGGGTGACAGAGCAAGACTCCATCTCAAAAAAAAAAAAAAAAAAAGAAAAAAAAAAAATATATATATGTTCTTGGAGAATGTATTGTTTGTTTTGCTGCCTCTGTTTGCAAAGCACCAATGTTTCTGGAAAGGAAGCATAGCAGGAAGGTAAGTAAAAAATGTAAATATGTGCCCAGACATTCCCAGAGGCTGGTCTTCAGAATCATCAGAAGATTTGCTTTTTTTTTTTTTTTTTTTTTTTTGAGACAGACTTTTGCTCTGTCCCCCAGGCTGGAGTGCAGTGGTGCCATCCTGGCTCACTGCAACCTCCGCCTCCCAAGTTCAAGCGACTCTCCTGCCTCAGCCTCTCAAGTAGCTGGGACTACAGGTGTGCACCACGACAGCCACCAGAGTAGCTGGACTACAGGTGTGTGCCGACATGCCTGGCTAATTTTTGTACTTTTTAATAGAGGCGGGATTTCACCATGTTGGTCATGCTTGGCGAACATCTTGACCCCAGGTGATCCGTCCACCTTGGCCTCCCAAAGTGCTGGGATTACAGGTGTGAGAGCCACTGTGCCTGGCCAGATTTGCTTTGACTGGCCTGGTGTTTGCTCAGATGTGGCCAGCACCAGCACCTGGGTAATGAGGTTACTGTTAATATCTGGGGTGGCCACTGCTTTCCCAGGTGGCTCAGGGGTCACCTGATCCTCTGCCCAGCTCCATTCCAGGGGAAGAATGTTCCTCTCCCAGGTCCAGGCTGGAGAAAACCCTTCTGAGACCCAGAAAGGGACACAACAGAGGCAGAAGCAGGATTCCTCCCAAGGGACCCCACTGGGCAATAACAACAGAAATGTTTTGGGTCTGATCATTAGGAGCTGGCCCGTGGGGACTCCCTCCTGGTTTCTGGCAAAGACATATCTTGGGAGCTCCGAGGGGCGGTCTCAGGGCAACACTGGCTGCCGGAGTCTGGCCAGCTCCCGCTGCTCCAAGCCAAGAGCTGTGCAGACGCGCTGGCCAGGGTCCACACTGACCAGCAGGGGGTTCTGAACTAGAGTGGATTCAGGATGAAACGACATGGCAGTGGCAGGAGACGATGACGAGCTTGTGTCCTGTGAGTAGAGGAGGCACGCACACACACAAACACGCACCAGGACAGAATCACACAATATACACACACTCATCAGAGAAAGGCTGTTCTCAGCTTGATCTTCCTTCTTACCCCTTTGTTCATTCAAACATTAATTTATTCATTTTACTATCTGCATACCTGTGGCATAGGCACTCTGCTAAACACATCGGGCTAAAGGCCTGAAAGCTAGTCATTAGTTAGTCACACATGCATTAAGCACCTGCTGAGCCAGGCACATTTCGTAAAACACCATAAACCATTAGACAGTCAGTTAACTAATCAAGCAATTATTTCTTAAGTACAACCTATGTTTGTGGAGTGAATGGATACCTTTGTGCCTAATCCAGGAGGGATGGAAGAACGCTCAGATGAAGTCCCTGCTCTTTTCTAGGCCCCGAGTCCCCTCCCCACCCCGGTGCAGCGTGGCCACCCTCGCAGGCCAGCAACTTCACAGAGGGAAGGCTCCACACAGCCTGGAGTGGACGTTCCCAGATCCCGAGAAAGCTCATAGTTTCTCTCATGGGGTGAGAGACTGAGTCAGTGGGTGGGATGCTGAGCAGAGCCCCCAGAGGCTACTCAACCAGGTGAACCATCTGCCATCAGAAGAATAAATGTTGGGGCAACAGGGGACTAAGAGGTCCTGGCATTGGCTAATTCCCCATCCTTATTTCTAACTTGGATCCACCCTTTCCCACTTCGTAAGTGTTTACTGAGCATTAACTCTGTGTGAGGCACCTGGCTAGATCCACTCAGTCGGAAACAGAGAACCAGTCTCAGACCCCTACAGCAGGATCAGAGGGGCCCAATTGTATCACCATTCAAAATAGGACAGACAAACGCACCGACCAAGGAACACGACAGGCAGCTGGATCCCGGAAGGGCAGCTCTCCTGGGGGTGCTAATGTGCTCTGGAGCATACTTGGATTACAAAGGGAGGTGGAGCCTGGGCTTGAGCCCAGTAGCCTGTGGGTGAATTCCAACCTCCGCATTCAAGCGCCCCACTCGATCCCCCATTAGCCACGTAACCTTGGGCAAGTCACTCCATCTGAGTGCCTCAGTTTCCTAATATGGAAAAGGGGCCAAAAGTAACCACACCTCACAGGGCTGCCCCAGGAGGAAATGAGATTGCATCTGAAGCGGGTGCGGTATTTGGGGTATTTGGTCGGAGGAAAGAATTTAGTAAACAGAGGGCATTATTGTTATTTTATTGGAACTAGAGATAGCAGACAATGTCAGCCTATGTGTGTAATTACCCCACATCCTAGCAACAACACAAGGCACCAGCTATGTGACATATGTTATCTCTAGTCCGCAGAGCCACCCCCCAACTGGGCACTGTTTTCCCATTTAAATTAGGGTTGAGAGACACAGGCTGAGAGAGTAAGAGGTTTGTCCAAGGTCACACAGCCAGTAAGTTGCTGGGACAGGATGTGGACTCAAGTGCGAGATCTTTATACCACCCACGCTGCCCACTTCCCAGGTCTTGGTCCATCTCAGCACCCAGATCCCCCTGGGCCTGGCTCCCTCCTTGGCCTTAGAGGCCTGCCCCGGCTTAAGCAGGGAAGCCCCCCTTGCCCAAGCCGACAGAGCCAGGGACAGGAGTGAGTCGAGCCCACCATGCAACACGGAGGCACCTACTTGTCTGGTACTGGATGCCCAGCGCTGCCAAGCAGGCCACCAGTCCTGCCGCCAGAAGTGCCACCAGTACCACCAGCCGCTTCTCCACCTGGGTCCGCGCAGCCCAGCACCTCTGGCCACTCCGGGGGCTGTGGAAGTTCACCTGTAGGGAAGGAGGCAGGAGGGGCGGGGAAGACGTGAGCCCCAGGTCCCGCTTCCCTCGGAGGAAGGGGCTCTGCTGCAGGCCCAGGCCCTGGGGAGGCATCAGGGCTGCCTCCTGTCTCAGGGGTGGTCTGCTTCCCACAGATTCAACCCTAATCCAAGAAAGGAACAGCCACCCTGCTCAGCTGCTCAGATCTGCTCGCAAACATCAGAGAGTCAAGCAGCTCGGCCCCGACAGGCTTGTTTTTTTATGTCACTTGATATGAGTGGAAGGAAAAAACTACAGCTTTTCCCTGTTTCTCCAGTGAGGAGTTCAAAAAGAACAGGATGTTTGGACTTGCAGGCATCCAGTGAGTACCCAGCTGGGCTCTCCGCAGAACCCCCACATCAGCGGGTCAGGGACAAGGGTGACACGGCCACGGCTCACACTTCCCAGAAGCACAGACCTCCTCAGCTCATTAAACCCTCATAATCCCACGCGAAAACACGTGAGCCACCTCGTTACTTTTCTTTTTACGAGGAAACTGAGGTCCACAGAGGTCAGACCCTGGCTTCTCACTACCCAGCTAAATGGGGACAGCTGGGATTGGAACCCAAAGCTGGTGATGCCTGAGCCCACCAGTGGATCAGAGGTGGGTCCCAGGAGATGTTGGCAGAGATGCAAGGAGAAATAGCTCCATTTAGGTCCTGAAAGGGAGGAAAAATCCCTCCAGCCTAACAGTCTAGCTAAACAGGAAGGGAGGCACAATGAGAGGAAGTGCAGGGTGTGGCAGGGCCCTCCCTGCCCGAGGAGGGACACACCAGCCAGCAGCAATGGGAGCCGTCAGCCCAGACCTCTCACACCCAAGGCAGCTTGGGGCTCCCCTCTGTTCCAAGAGGTGCTTCCTGCAAAACCCACGGCCACAGGACAGGAAGGGTCTCCTGAAGGTGGGGTGACATGTGTTCAGTGACACTGTGTCAAGTGCTAACAGCTGAGCACCAACTCAGGGCCATGTTGGAAATACACAGCCCAGCAGGGAGGCAGATAAAGAAACAGACTGGGGCTGGCAGGGGTTCAATCAGGGAGGGCTTCCTGGAAGGGAGATGTCTGGCCTGGGTCGGTGAGAATAAGTAGGAACTGGCCAGATAAGAGGGAATGGGAGTGGAGAGGAGAGGAGGGCCTAGATGCTAAGGGGCACAGAAAGCCAAGTTAAGAGCCTGGACTTCCTCTTGAGGACTGAAGTGACATGATTAGACTTGCCCTTTAGGAAGGGCAGGGTGGAGGGAGCAAGGCTTTCCAGGAAGAGGGAGAGCTGTCAGGGAAGATGAGGAGACTGAGACTCTGACCTGCAAGTGCCCCACCAATAGCCTGAGGGGTGCCCCTGGTGCCCAGTCACAGTCCTGAGGGAGTCCCACCCTGGCACTCGGGGATCTGAAGTGGGTCACTTGAGGGAAGGGTACTGAGAAGCCACGTGGCCATGGTTAGGTATTTACTGGGCAGGAAACGACTGGGATTTGCTGCACCAGAGACGGAGGAACACAAGCACTTTCTGTGGAAAAAAAAATTGGGTTCCAAAACTAAGAAAAGGGACCAGGCGTGGGGGCTCACACCTGTAGTCCCAACACTTTGGGAAGCTGAGGTGGGAGGATCACCTGAGGTCAGGAGTTCAAGACCAGCCTGGCCAACATAATGAAACCCCATCTCTACTAAAAAACACAAAAATTAGCTGGGTGTGGTGGCGGGCGCCTGTAGTCCCAGCTACTCGGGAGGCTGAGGCAGGAGAATCGCTTGAACCCAGGAGGCAGAGGTTGCAGTGAGCTGAGATTGTGCCACTGCATTCCAGCCTGGGCGACAGAGCCAGACTCCATCTTGGAAACAAAACATAACAAAACTAAGCAAAGGATCTTGGGGCTTAGAGACACTTCTGTGCAGGCCCAGGAGGCTGAGACACTGAAGCAGCTGGGTCAGTTAGTGGGAGGGACGCCGCCTGCTCAAATCCTTCAAGAATCTCTTCTAAAACAGTGAGCAACGGAAGTTTCAGACCATGCTATGTTCATGAACGAAAACTTCAGGCTGTGAGGGCCTGGCGCAGAGACAGACAGCCTGGTATGATGCTAACATGTACACTGTACTCACAAGTTTATCAAGTGCTTTTTCAGAGTAATCACACACACTTTACCTTGGTCACTGGTATTCAGAAGGGCCCCAAGGACTTGAAGCAGGCACTGCCTTGTCTAAGGACACTGACGTATGTGTCCTGCTGCCCCTGAGTTTGTTTCATCCTTCCTCCTTTAGGCCTCTCATGCCCTCATTATCATGGCTCAGCTCACAGGGCACAAGGAGGCCGTGAGATCGTTTTTTTTGTTTTGTTTTGTTTTTTGAGACGGAATCTCCCTCTGTCACCCAGGCTGGAGTGCAATGGCACAATCTCGGCTCACTGCAACCTCTGCTTCAAGCGATTCTCCTGCCTCAGCCTCCTGAGTAGCTAAGATTACAGGCATGTGCTACCACACCTGGCTAATTTTTGTATTTTTAATAGAGATGGGGTTTCACCATGTTGGTCAGGCTGATTTCGAACTTCTGACCTCGTGATCCGCCTGCCTCAGCCTCCCAGAGTGGTGGGATTACAGGTGTGAGCCACCACGCCTGGATGAGACCTTGGTTTAAGAGGTACCCATCAGCCAGGCTTAGTGGTTCATGCCTATAATCCCAACACTTTGGGAGGCTGAGGCAGGAGGATGGCTTAAGCCCAGGAGTTCAAGACCAGCCTGGACAACATAGTCAGACCCCATCTCTAAGAAATAAAAAAAATTAAATTAAATTAGTAGGCATGGTGGCACACACCTGTAGTCCCAGCTACTTGGGAAGCTGAGGCAGGAGGATTGCTTGAGCCTGGAAGGTCGAGGCTGCAGTGAGCCATGATTGTGTCTCTGCACTCCAGCCCGGGCAACAGAGCAAGACCCTATCTCAAAAAAGAAGAAAAAAAAAGAGGACAGGCGCAGTGGCTCACGACTGTAATCCCAGCACCTTGGGAGGGTGAGGTGGGTGGATCACCTGAGGTTGGGAGTTTGAGATCAGCCTGGCCAACATGGTGAAATCGCGTCTCTACTAAAAATATTAAAATTAGCTGGGCATGGTGGCACACACCTGTAATCCCAGCTACTGGGGAGGCTGAGGTGGGAGAATTGCTTGAAACTGGGACCTGGAAGCTGCAGTGAGCAGAGATCACGCCACTGCACTCTAACCTGCATGACAGAGCGAGACCCTGTCTTGAAAACAAAAAAAACAGAAAGAAAAGAAAAGCCAGCACCCTATGCCTGGTGCTGGCTCCAGGGAGCCAAAGGACACAGCCACTAGGCTTGGGATGCAGGGAAACCTCACCTTATCTGGACAGGAGATAGCTAGGAGCAAGGAGCAAAGTCATCTGTGGAGAGAAGGGAGAGAAGAAAGCAACAGAACGGGGAAGATGAAAGAAACAGAGGGAGAGGAAAGGAAAAAAAGAATAATGGCAGCAAATAAACACTTGAGGGCTAAGTGCCTGGGATCATATTAATTCGATTTTGATGGTGCAATTCTATCTTCATAACATTCTTTTTTTTTATTTTGAGACAGAGTCTTGCTCTGTCGCCCAGGCTGGAGTGTAGTGGTGCCATCTCGGCTCACCACAACCTTGGCCTCCCGGGTTCAAGAGATTCTCCTGCCTCAGCCTCCCGAGTAACTGGGACTACAGGGACGTGCCACCATGCCTGGCTAATTTTTTGTATTTTTAGTGGAGATGGGTTTTCACCGTGTTAGCCAGGATGGTCTCAATCAATCTCCTGACCTCGTGATCTGCCCGCCACAGCCTCCCAAAATGCTGGGATTACAGGCGTGAGCCACAGTGCCTGGACCATAACATTCCTTTTTTAATTTTTTTTTTTTTTTTGAGACGGAGTCTCACTGTATCACCCAGGCTGGAGTGCAGTGGGGAGGTCTCTGTTCATTGGAACCTCTGTCTCCCAGGTTCAAACAATTCTCCTGCCTCAGCCTCCCAAGTAGCTGGGATTACAGGTGTGCGCCACCACGCCCAGCTAATTTTTGTCTTTTTAGTAGAGACAGTTTCACCATGTTGGCCAGGCTGGTCTCAAACTCCTGACCTCAGGTGATCTGCCCACCTCAGTTTCCCAAAGTGCTGGGATTACAGGCATGAGCCACTGCGCGGGGCCTATCTTCACAACATTTCTAAGAATAGGTATTAGCGTTAGCACCAGAAGAAACACAGGAAGTTGCGGCATGAAGGCAAAGAGAGAGGAGAGAGAACAGGGAGGCAACTCACGTCTCCAGGACTGGCAGCTGCAGGCCTACCAGGATGTGCTACCCTCCTGCAGGGGCAGGAGGTGGAGCTGGCCTTCACTGTTTGATGAAAAGTGCTAAATCAAAACAGATGGTGTTCACTGCAAAATTAAATTAAAATTAAGCCAGAATTGAATTAAAAATTCACAGTTTCAGGCAAGAATAGCAAGCGGAGTTTGAAAATGGGGTTTTTAACCTTTGTCTTGTTCTTCGCTTGACTTGTACTATAGGCTATGGGCCTCATGGTTTCTGGATGAGCCTTGTCTCTGAAGGCAGAAGGAATCCAGATGCCTCTTCCTGGGGCGGGAGAAGTCACCTAGAGGTACTAGACCAGGATCAGGAAGCCTCTCCAGGGCAGGTTGGCCAATTCCTAGGTGCAATGGAAAGGGCTGGGCCGTGAGTCAGGGCATCGATCTGCTTCCAATGGCTGCTGGCCTCAGCTGAGTCTCTTTCCTTTGCATCCCTGTTACACCTGCCCAGCCTCCTTCATGGGACTGTGGAGGGGATCCGTGAGATGAGGTCACAGCATGGGGAGATGTGAGTGGTTTCTCAGTTTTCTTTTGGAAATGAGGTCCTGTCAATCATGGTAGAACTGGCCTGAGCAGCTTGGAGGGTAGGAGGATTGGTGGCGGGCAGCCCGGTCCCTCTCAGGAGAGGGTACTGTGAAGTGGCCATCAGCTAAGAGGCAG